AAGTGGTGCGGTTGTTACTCGAGGCTGGAGCTGACACGAATGCGACAAACGCTAACGGGGCAACAACCGCTTTGATGGCTGCAGCTCGCAATGGCCACTTGGAAGTGGTGCGGTTGTTGCTCGAGGCTGGAGCTGACACGAATGCAGTAGAATCTAATGGGGCAACCGCTTTGATGGTTGCAGCTCGCAATGGCAACTTGGAAGTGGTGCGGTTGTTGCACTAGACAGTTCGCATCTTCCATAGTAGCTGCTGAACCACAGCTTGTTGGCGCCGCGGCTTGTTCTCCTTGTCACAAGAAGGAAGCACCGCCAAATGCCAGAGTTTCGATGGTGCCCTTCAGATGTGTTTCACTTGTGAAGACGGGCACGGCCGCCATCATGCTCTCAAGCGCGGGCGAGGTCGGCGACTTGGGCGATCCATCATGCTCTCAAAAAGACGAAAACAGCGATGTCCATGGGCTTTACAGCCGCGCAGAGCGACAGGCAATGGCACCATTTGGCCGCCGGCGGACCCGGGCAGAACGGGGGGAGACGGCGAAAGCGTCGAGACGGGGCGAATCTGCAATCGGTGGGCGAGCTGTGCTGGTGTTTGAGGGTCATACCGGCTGGTGGTCGGATCCCTGTTTCAAGTGGAGCCTCGAAATGAATTTAGGATTTGAATGGAGTTGATGATACTTGATGCGCGCGGCGTTGGGATTTGTTCTCTCCACACCTGTTCGGAATGAAGAAGGCTTGAGGATGTACTGGGATTCAAAAAGGCCGTTGTCGAGCTGGACACATGTAGTGCATCGAAGCACTCCCAGAGGAACCTGATGAGCCCAATGATAGGATTGCCGGCTTGCCCTCGGATCATTTGCCAATCTTAACCCTTCGTTCAACACAGAATTGGACCATTGGTCAAAACCTGGCAACCATTGTTTGACCTCCCTCCAAACGAACAGAATGGGCCATCATTATATAATCATGCTGTCTCAGAGATTTGCTTGCAGACCACAGCCATGTAGGACTGTAGGGGAAGACTCGATCGATGGATGGCACGCTGTCACCTTTGAGGTGGTTTTCAAGGAAGGTCAGATCCAGCTCTACGTGGATGGTCAATGCGATGGCCTTGACTGGCATGCTTCGCGCGAACCGCCGCCTCGCCCTGCTGTAGCATGCTGTAGCCATTTCGGTCGTCCTGGACACTGAAACGAGATGGAAGGGCCCTTCACATCCATTAAACCATAGAATGGCCTATGGAACCTTCTATTGTCAGGGTGGTGACCTGATGGGTTGACCGGTTTTTGATTTTGGCCGGTCTGATGGGGCCTCTGAAAGCCTTTTCGGGTGGATCATTTGCACTGGTTGTCTTGAATGAGACTCTGCTGGGTAAAACCCAGCAAAGCAAAACCGGCACAATGGACGAGCTTCGGTTTACCTGGCTTTTTCCAAGGAAACGACAAGCCGTGGTCAGTCATGGTCAGTCACAATGGACGAGCTTCGGTTCACCTTTGCTTTTTCCAAGGAAACGGCAAGCCGTGGTCAGTCATGATCGGTCATGGTCGGGATCGCGTCACCCCAAGTGTTCTGTAACCGGAGGCGCCGGAGGCATCGACTGCTCTGACGACTGGTGGACCGACTGGCGCCCTATCCCTAGGCGTAGACCTTCTCAGGTTCGGTACGACTGGACCCTCCAAACCATCAAAATGTCTCCAATCACCTTCTCAGAGGGTATGTGGATCCGGGTTTCAACTCCACAACCGGGCGAGTTCTGAGTTCTGAATACGTGAGAAGATGTGAGAAGGCGACAAAAAGAACATGCAAAGGATTTGGTTTGGGGGTAGAACATCAAAAGGGTATTTAATATCGGTCTATATATCGTTTTCAATGGATTCACTTCAAGAGTCAGGGCCATGTGAAGCCGCATCAGATGTGCGTTTGAAGACTCCTGTTAACCGTTAACCTAAAGACTCCTGTGCTGAAAGTTTCTGCTAGGGCCAGGGAGAGACGAAGATGGCGATGTTTTTGGTTGATTCCAAGAGTATCCATCTATATAATTCCATCTACCATGGGGTCTTGAGAGCTTGTTTGACTAGAGCCAATATGATCAATGCAGACTCACTGAGACCCTTGCAAGATTGTGAGCATTTCTGAGGACCCAGATCAACAGAATAAAGAAACCAATTTGCTAGTGCCAGGTATCAATATCCGTATCACAATATCAGATAATATATATTGTGGTAATTATGTCATAATGATGTTTCACACTTCTCCCCAACATCTCTTCGCCAGGCGAAGGGCGAATTGAGGCAGTTTTGTTGTGTTTTGCAAGATTGGTCGCAGCTTCTTGGATGGTCTTGTGACTTGTGAAACAGTCCGGCATATGTGTTCAAGTTCTTTTGCTGGCTCTTGAGTTGAATGGCAGCTCAGTCGACCCAACTGAAGTGGCAGACCAGTTCGGGTCGAACGGCGGTCGACTCGGAAACTGTGTGGCCAACGTGGATCACCGTGGATCACCTGCTAAACTGTTTTGGAATCTGGATTCTTTGGGGTGCAATTGGGGGTACCACTCAAAATTTGAGGGAGAAAAGGATTACTGTATATAACCTTATTTTCACGGAAACAAGTCGGGAGGCAGTATATTTATATATCTGTCGTATATGTACAGACCCTGCACTATAGGGCTTCATCGGGTGAAACAGCCCTCCAAGCCTCGTGTTTTGAGCCTTTAAGCGGGGTGTCGTGATTACTCTCCAGTCTCCAAATCACTCCAATAACATTGTGGCAGCTGCGCCGAAGGATCTCAAGAGTCTCCCTTTTCGCCTTCGCTCCATATTTCTTCGCCACAGATACGGAGATTTACAGACAACAAGGCTAGGACCTCACAGGACCAAGCACCAAGTTGAATGGAACCAGGAAGCACCTCCATAGTTAAAAGAATAAAGCAAAACTCTAATATATATCTGTTCATTTTTGGAGTGTCCCATATATATATATATACTCGCAGAGAGTGTCCCGCGTCCCACGAGAGCTCCCGGCAGACCTGGGGTGGGAATCTGCCGGAGGTGCCTGAGGAGATTACAGGGCCAGTGCTGCCCGGGGCGCCCGGCGTTCCGCGGGTGTGGGCGATGCCGCAGGCATCACGTTCGGGTTGGAAGATGCTGAGAGTTGGTTGGCTTCACATGGTCAGCCCCAGGAAATCCATCCAGTGGCATGGATTGGAGGCAGGTCAACGCCGAAACCCTAAACCCTAAACCCTTTCTTTTCACCATGGAAACATATGGAAACGCTAGAAGGGTCCCGCATGGTTTCGATATGTTTCGGTGGTTTCGGTGGAAGCAGCTGGCTTTTCCGGATGAAGCAGCCGGCTCTCGGTCCAAAGGCTCCAACACCGACGTTCCGACATTCGTCCTGAGGTTCGGTGAGGGTGAAACTGCTCCGCTGAGAGATGTGAAGGCGGGCCGGTCGCAAAATGAGTGGAGGTTGGAAGGGATGTAATTGGGAATGTGATGATGTTGATGCTTTGAGAAAAAGCTGCGCTGTTCTGGCTTTGGTTGCCTTGAGCATCGGATTGATTTGCGTTGGGTTTGGTTCGCTTTTTTTCTCCCCGGTCACAGCAAGCTGAAGGTGTGAAGATCGGTACCATTGACATCACGACAGATGTGTTTGTTTTTGTTGGTGCGCAGGAATTCCCTGTATCGCTATGGTTTTACTTTCAGCAACACCAACCGTATGGACAGTATGGACAAGTCCTGACATGCTGTAGTTTCGAGAGATTGCTGTGCTGAACATGTTACACAGTTAGGATCACCAGCTTGCCCCTGGAGGTGTTTCATACAGCGTTGAGCCAATGGCAGATCTCCTCCATGATGACCGATAGCAAGGCGATGCGGGCGAACACGCAAACTGGCAGATGCGATAGCTGAAACTTGCAAACCGATGCTGCGCTACTGACTCCACGGAGTCCTGTTTCTGTTTATGGCTGCATGGAATGTATGCAGAGCCTGGTGACACATGCCGTGTTGTTTTGCACGAAGTTCTTTAAAGCTGCTTGCCCCAGACCATTAGCAGTTAGATACAGCCAAGTAGAGACACGCTAAACACGTACCTTTGTGCCTCATTTTGGGTCAGATCAAGCAGCCCGCGTTTATGGCGGCTCTCTCTCTCTCTCTCTTTTTGATCCAGACTAGATCCGTCCGTGGCAGGACTTGGGCACTGGAATCACCTTGGCCTTACTGCCAGACCAGGTGCCTCGGTGCCGGAGGTCGAACGGGTGCGAGGTCACGACGGAGTGAAGGTGCCCAACCATGGGATGGAAAGTCCCGTCCGACCCTGGAAGAGCTCCACCTCCTTTGGGCACCAAGTGCTGTGAGGCTGTGAATTGAAGTTTCCCAGACCATCCATGGGACTGGAATAACTACTTGTTTGGTTTGGGTCAGTATGGATGGGTCATGTTAGGTCATTTGTTCATGATATAAATAACGTATACGTATGTACCCTCCCTCCAACACTCGTGGAAGCGGAAAATTGCCCCTGGAACGACCCATCGTTCTCTACAATCTACAAACAGGGTCTACAAACAGGGGGTTTTCCACTTCCATGATTGTTCCAGGGAGGGTAGCTATTCCAGTCCCGTGGATGGTTTGGTTGGCCAAGCTGTGTTTGGGGTCAACTCGGTCAATACAACAGGTGACAGATGGTTCAGATGGTTGATCAGCTCAAAAGCTGTGTCAGTCCGAATTTTTTTGTCTCAGAGTCTGGGAGAGCTCTCAGCGCTGGACTCCTCTCTCAGCACGCTGTGCTCGGCTGTGATGTGCTCTAGATTGTGCTAAGCTGCTTATTCACCCGTGTCTTGTTCTACTTAACACTGTTTGGGGTCTCTTTGCCGGGACGTATGCCTCGAAACGCGTGAAGCCCATGGTGGTGTTGTAGCAGACTGATTTGGCATGATTTGGCTATGGTTCAAAAGTTGTCAAGACTAGTGACTAGCCATCCAAACCACCTGGTGCAGGGAAAGATTGAATTTCACGCTGGCCTGTGTTGTTTCTTTTCTGGAGCTCCTAGAAATTCGTCCCACCCAGCTCACCAGCTCGACCTCCCTCCAGGTCACAGCCTATTGGGCCTTGAAGGTGCGTAACCTAGCCTGTTCGGTCGTGGGATTTGAAACGACGGTTCAGGGCATCTGACTGGTCGATGGCTCGGCAGATTGAGGAACGGTCCGACGAGTGAAGGAATGGTCGGAACGGTCCGGGCTCCGCTGGTACCTTCCTTTTGAAGGTGTTTGGGATGGGTTTAGAGCGTCCAAGTTTGGAGATTGTTTAGAGAAAAGAGGCCAAACTGCGGATTTGGATCTGCCTCTGAAAGATGTGGGCTCCCAGTCGACTGGGTCTTCATGAAGAAACCGTTAGCATCCATTCTTGGATCCTCAGGACCAGCCTTTGGGCATTAAGTTTTAATTTGTTTATTGTTGAAATTAGGCTGTTACTTATTATATTATTGTTATTATCATTGCTATTTATGGTTTTATTACTATACACTATACACGGTTTGTTTTTGCCCTGGAGAAGGTAGAGGGGGGAGCTTCCTGGAAGAAGTGCTCACTATTCATTGGGTTCCTATAGGTTTTAGGGGATTTTTAGGAAAACTTAACAAATCAAGAAAAACACATCACGAAACGCAACCTGTTTGGGGGAGATCACTTGGCTTTGCTGTGAGAGAGACTCCGTCAAGGCGGAGGACTCCGAGGACCGTTTGCAGCTGAAGTGCAGCTGTTTGGCTCCAAAGCCATCCAATCGTCCCGGACGTGGAGGAAGAACTCATCCGTCAGAGCAGCCAGAGCCAGATCGTATAGCCGAAACACGGAGTTTGCACCTGGCCAAGCACCGACATGTGAAATGGATTGGGGCCTGTGATTCCAAGAAACCGTTTTTTCCACAAAAATCAGTGTTGGTGTCAAGAAATAGAGCACCTACCCAGCAAAAGTGGATCACCTGCAACACCTTCTTTGGGGCAGTGATTGTCCTCACTGAAGAAGAACAGACAGCAGATGGTTAATCATGGTGAACCTTTATTTTCCACTTCAACAGAGGGAGTCAGAGCGCCTCCCACAAACGGAAAAACAGGCCGGCCTCCTAAGAAGAACGAGCAATGTCTCCGAATTGGTCCACTGCACCATCACTCATGTTTTGCTAGTTGGTGACGCTTTGGCTTAGCATACCTGCGGAAAAGAGGCAGCTGAGCCCTGCCATGGGCGTGTGTCCCTTGTGCTACATCCCACCAGCTGCACGGGAGCTCAGATCTTCCGAAGCTGGGTCACGCTGGTGCAAAGGGTGAGGCTCTGAATGACAGCAGTCCTGCAAGAGCAGCTGTTTTTGTTGACTGACTATCGGATCACATCCCTCATGGCATCCAGCCTTTACATTGTGGGGAAAATCAACGCACCAGGACGAGTGTTCTTGCGTCTCGCGGGTGTTTCTTTTGACTTATGTCCGACCACGTCGATGTCACACGTCGATGCCACCTTGTCACCTACCCCGCTGTCACCATGAAGCAACAAACTCACTTGCATATGCACCCCAGACCCCGTCCTTCAAAAGGGCATCCGTGTCTCATCAGCTCTACATGGGTGGGGAGTATGCTCAAAGCAGGTGACGTTGATGGGGGTGAGTCAAATCCGGGGTGCTTGGGTCGACCCTGCGAAGGAGGTGAATCGACCCTGGGGACTCGCAAATACCGGGGTTGGACCCATCCCCATGTGCAGGTACGTGTCGGTGGTTTGTAACTCATCATGACCAATTTTTCTGCCTGGCTGTTTCACCACCTCAAAGGATCCATCGGGTGATGATTTCAGATTTCGGATGACATCTACTTGGTCAACTGACAAATTGACTTCGCCCAACATGCGCAAAGAAAAGACGTCCACACCGGGAACTTTGCAGCTTTGGATAGATTTGGGGATTGCGAGAGGTCGCCATTCCGAGAGGTGGCCGGCCTTTGGGGCAGCGCCCTGATAACGGCACCTGGCGTCCAGGAGACTTGGCGGAGACATGTCATTTCCAGGGTGGGGGATGAGAAGTAATGCATGTTCCTCCTGAGAAACACCGGACACCCATCTCAGAAACGAAGAGATTTTTTCTTTTCGAGGATGTTCCATAGTACATCCGACACAAGTAGGTCGGCAAGTGTTTGTTCTCTTTCACTGGATGGGAAAGATCTAAAGCATTCTAAAGCTGTTAAAGGGTTCGTTCAGCGTGTGCGGTGTTATTTGGGAGAATCGCACTTGATCATCATCTGTTCAGCCCAGAATCTACCTGGAAAAATGGACAATGATGAACATGGTATCACTTTCACAGAAAAACCATCACAAACACCTCGGACCCGGTTGCCCCACCTCAGCGATGCACCAGGGACCAGGGTTCTTTAAACGTTTCTAGGCATGTATGACATGTGTATGTCAATAGGGAAACATAGACACCCAGCGGGCGAAACCAGGAGGTAGCAGCTGAGCATAGCCGGGCATGGACCAATCGGTCGCTCGGATAGGTCGGCACGCGTCGCACATCCATGGGTTTCTCTTGCAAGTTGTATGAATGATGTAGTTGTACGTGTTCTTTCTGCACATCCTTCATGTTTGGCAGAGTATGCCGAGTTTTTGTTGACAGTATGTAGCACATGTTGCAGGGATCGTGAGACATCGGCTACTTTTAATTGTTTATTTTCACGTCGGGGCTCGTTCCGGCTCGGCCTTTTACGGGTTCCCTCAGGATGGCTGTGAGCAATGTCAAGCAAAGGAAGAAGTGGCGAAGCAAGGACAGCGAGATGTGTTGATGTATGTTGATGTGTTGTGCTTGGGAAGGAAAATGGGTCATGTCACCGGGACACCCTGTTCTTTTCCCACCAAGAATGAACAGAATAGATGACCTAGCTCTCCATGGTGCAACCTACCAGGTAGGGTGAGGCGACGCGGCGACTCGGGTGCCAGGAGCCCCGTGCCAAATGGGTGATCTTAGGATGTGTTCCAGACTAACAGTGAAGGTTGAGTAGACTACTTTTGATGAATCCGGCGAGTGTTGGCTCGTTAAGGATCCAAGGTAGACTGACAACTGTTCTTTTTGAAGAGGCGTGGGCCGTGTAGAGGGAGGTAGGTTAGGTAGGTAGCTAGTAGTAGCTATAGGTAGGCGGTAGGCTAGTACCTACAAGTAAGCGACGCAGGATAGGTCACGCTTCTTCAAGGAAGCTGCCCCCCACTATTCATTTGGTTCCTAGATTTTTAGGGTTTGATGCTTGACTTGTGACTTGTGCGGGTCATAGAAACCAAGGCACCACCGAAACCGCTACGAAAATAACAAGAGGGTACAGGGTCTTCTCGGGCCCCTCTCATTTGGAGCATCAACTTCAAGATCCTCGGCACTTGGGCCGTTTTCTTGTCATGCCAGCCCTGTCGTCCGCAGAAGTCTTTTTACAGGTGTGATGCTTACTAATGTGCAATCCCATGAACACTTGTCAGATGCGATGATCTCAGCCTTCACTGATTGAATTCAATGCCCCAGTTTGCACTCCGGATCATGGCCCAAGTGTTCAGAGGCTTTTGAGATTCTAGATTCACACCTTGAAAGGATGTAGTAGAGGGCACTTTCAAGGTTACCAACTTGGTCATGTTGTGTTTACTGGTTTCTAACTGCGCCGGGGTTCCGGTACATGTTGCAAGGCCTTGCACATAACTCATAACTAGCTTCTACTGTTATTTGCAAGCTATATCACATACATCAGTGGTCTCCAGTTGTCCCAACATGGGATTTCAACTTTACCCCATGCTTGAGCAGGAGAACATAGGAGAACCAACCGTCTCAGAACTAGCACTGAGACATGGAACAATGACCTTTTGGAAGCTAGCGTCCTTTCATATGTGTTGCTTTTGTTTTGGTGTTTTTCCAGGTCAAGGTCTTAGTTGCTTCTTGGGAGTCTCACCTCCAAACCTACCTCAGAGTCCATCCGCCAGGTTGCTTCATTGACTTTCTTTTCATGGGGAGGGTCACTGGTCGAATGGGCTCCTTTGTTCCAGGCGCTGCGCTTTCCGCTGCTTTGGGCATTGCCGGATCGCTGCCACTGGTGCGGACCCCGGCGATGTGGGGATGAAGCACACCTGGCTGCGGATGAATCACCCAAGCAATGTGGGCGAGCCATTTTTCCAGTGCGATCCTGGGTGATTGGGCGTGCACCAACCTGGACGTTCTTTTTGGGGGTGCATGGTAGGGTACATTAGGGTACCTACGTGCACCAGGAAACCGGCACGGCTTGGGATGCGTTTGAAAGTGCACTCCATACAAGATTTGGAGGTTCCTTGTGTCCAGTGGCATTGCACTCTCAGTGCACCAAGTGCAATACCTTAGGACTGACTATCGAATGCTAGTTCCAAACCTCTTCAAAAAGGCAGAAACAAACCTCCCCCATTTCGTGAACTTCTGAAATGGCCCCCCGCGACATCTTTCGAAAATTGCCATGTTTTCACTCACTTCCAAAACTGTGTTTCCTTCAGCATCCTTCGGCGCTTCCAAAAAACGCTGGATGCTGGGTACGTCGCCATGCCAGGGCTACCTGGGCCTTCGACGGTGGCGTGGTGGACGCCATGGTTTGGCGGACGCTCGGCAGAACGAGCATGTTCGATTAT